CAGGCACGTGAGGCAGCGATCGTGACCATCACCCGGCGCCAGGTAACGACCGCATCCAGAAACGCGCGGGTGAAACGGCATCTTTAAAAATATGATCCGTCGTCTTTACAAAGACGCACCTGCTTATTGTACTCTTTTAGAGAAATTGGCTCTTTTAGGGAAATGCTCTTTTACGTGCGGAGACGCACAGGGGAAACGGCCGTTTGCAGCACGACAGGGGGTATTGCAGCCTGAAGTGAGCAACCAACTCAACACAGGAACGACCACCGCTGAAGCGCCATCCGCCAACACAAAAAGCTCCCAAGAGTGCTAGACTCGTCACACACGAAGCAGTTTGGTAGGAGCAGAACGATGTTGTCGCTCGGCTCCGAAGCGAAAAGCTGGTATGCGTTGCACCGGCTGCCTTTTTATGCTCACGCTGTGATCAGCGGCAGCTGGATGCAATCATCGCATGCCAATGTGCATTGGCTCGTTTAGTTTACACTCGAAGTGGATTTGTCTCTCTAAGCGAGATCCCAATTCGTCGGTCACGACGTGACTCGTAGTGACCGACTGAAAGGGAACTTATTTTACATACTGACTACAGCGTGTCAGTGAGTCTATTGTCCGCGGTAGCCTGAGTTGCACATTTAGTCCGCCAAGATCAGATACATTAACATTGTCATATATATTAACATGCTAAAACTATTCAGAGAGTTATCATGATTGAAAAACCATAAACTAATTTCTGTTGATTATTAAGGTCAACATTTGTTGATTATTGACGTGGAAAGACTCAATTGACTCTGTCAAAAGCCAGTTATAGAAAGATAAATGAAGTCTGCAATAACAGACTGAGTAAAATAATATGTGCTGGTGATGCAGTGCTCTGTTGATCTGTTCTGTTTGCATGTTGCATTCGTCAGGTTGCCTCATGCATAGACACACTGTAATTACAATTTCTGTGCTTACATGCTTTAGTCTACAAATAAATTACCTTTTTGTTGTTGTTGCATAAATTATGTTTCTGACACAGCCAACAGATGCTTTGTTTGCACAAAAGCACATTGAACTGAAATAAATCCAAAGCAATGTGCTTGACTCTTCAAATGTTACCTCAATATGGACATCCTTAACATTCTCCAGAAATAACACATAAGACTTGAGGAGGGTTTTTATGAGCATTGATCTCACAGCGTTAGATTTTTCAGAAAAAGGAACAACTGGGATTTCTGTATCTTGTTACTTCTTTGATTTTCAATGTCATGTATTTTAGTTTATTCTGGTATGTGTGTTTGTGTTCACGACGTTTGTTGTTTTTATGATTTACTTTCCTTTTAATTTAATTTCATTTCATTTTTCATTTCAAGCATACTGTGATGACGAGGATGAAGATCTGTTTGGTGATTACTGTTTCAGTAAGTTGCATATGTTCAGTGAGTTTTCATGTGTTTGCTGTGTGTGTGTGTGTGTGTGTGTGTGTGTGTATATAAGTATGTACTTGTGTATGTATGTATGTGTATTCAAGTGATTTTGTGTGTAATGGGAATCACTGGTGCCATAAAATATATTTTATTCAGCCTCCAAATCTGATAGTAAGCTACGGATTTCTTTTAATGAATTTTCAGACTTTTAAGCTATTAGCAGGAGCACTACAAATTGGAATGGTGGCAGGTTTTTAAGAAAGCCTTTGTTTAAAGGGGGGTCTAATGCTATTTCATGCATTCTAAGTTATTAACACTGTTAAAGAGTTGGATTCTCATGCTAAACATGGCCAAAGTAAAAAAAACGGGTTACAGGATTTGCTCGAGAAGGATGTCTTCAAAGAAGTGTGTTTTTGGTTGTGAGGGAAAGATAACCTTGTTCAGCTTCCCAAAGAACCCAGCGTTAAGGGAACAGTGGATGCAGTTTGTTTTTCCGGGACAGCAACGGAGTTGCGCATGTGTGGTTGTTTGTTCCCGTCATTTCAGTGACAAATGTTTTATAAACAAGGCCCAGTTCGACGCTGGATTTGCAGATTGTTTGATACTGAAAGATGGAGAGGTCCCAGCGATAAAAGATCATGAGTCAGAACCTCAGGCGGTGAGTAAAACTGCATCAAATTTCTGTGTTTTGTTGGCAATCGGCGCGTAAGTGCATATAATGTAAACAACAAACATGCTCGCAACTTTTAGCTCCTCCCATGGCACTGTAGCGTCTGGACCAATCAGACACAGGTGTGTTTGAACTAAGAATCTGATGTTTCCTTCAGGCTGTAGATTTGCTGAATATCCAATGGTCCAATAGCTTCATGCTTTATTTATCTTCTCTTTACTGCCTAAGCTTTAATCCTGTTCCTATACCAAATGTATGCGTGTGTGTGTGTGTGTGTGTGTGTGTGTATGTGTATGTTAGACTAGTTTAAGTGTTTATGTAGTTAATAAAGTCTTACTTGTATCACACTTGACGTTGTTCATTGTTTGCTCATAACTGGAGTCCCTAATCATGCAGATTTATGCTACAGGCTCTGTGTAGTATTGTACAGTAAGAAAGTTATTTCCCTTAACCAGGAAATTAACGTTCTTAGAATTGACAGACAGTTGACCCTGAGAGGTCAAGTAAATACTTACAGCGGATCTAAATATTTATAATTAATTATAACTAGTTATGATTAATTATTCATATTTCCCCTTTGAGCTGATTCACTATAGCACGCATCCAGGAGCTTGGCTGTTTTTTGAAGAGAAGCATAAGCTGTATCTTTCTTTTACAAATCTGATAAAACTAAAGACTCTTCAGAGATATGAAGGATGCAATACTACTCTATAAGTACTCAAGATTAACATGAGATTGGCAGAAACTGTGTGTGTTATGTCCCCTGTAAAATTGTGTTTCCCCTTCTAGGGAACTCGTGCTGCGTCCTCTAGCGGACACTATGGGGACTGCCGCCAGCAGGACCGGTGTCTCAAGCACATGTGAAACAACTACAATCCTGTTGGCCCACATAGCCCGTGACGTCACAGGTGGGCACCCATAAGTATAAGAGGGCACCTGCAGAACATGTCACCCACTTTTGTTGTCTTCAGGAGCCGTCTGTTTGTTCAGTGTGTGTGAAGCATTATCCTGGTGAGTCGAGCAGCGCTTTAGGGAATGTGTGCCTCCGTGTTTGAATTCTAACACTTGAGGGCATTTTCTGACTTTGCGTTATTGTCTCGGCGAGGAGCATGTGCATTCAGTGCTTACACGCTCATTGTGATGAGTCATAATGTAAAGGCTCAGTTTGCGTTTGTTCCTATTCCTGATGGATGCAGGACAAAGCGTTTGTGTCTCGCAGCTCGGTTCTGCCGTTGCCGCGGCATGGTTTATCTCATCTCGCGGCGATTGCTTTGATCTGCGGGATCTGCATATGATCTGAGGATATGAGAATCATAGACAGGGCTAGTGAGCCAACACTCTCCCTCCCCTGATTTCAGGGTATCTTCCAAGCAGGCGGTCCCCTTGAATCCTGCATGCTAAGTATGGGCTTTCCCCTCTTTGTTAGGGTTTTTCAAGTGGATGGCCCATTGCTTTGGAACATAGTTGGTCATATAGCGGTCTGAGGGCAGCTGTGTTCCAGCCTGGCTTCTATGACTAGGTTGGGTTCCTTTTGGCACAAGTCCTCTTAAGTAGGCGCTGAGTCCTTGCCTTGGAAGATAGATATCCGAGGATAGCCATGTGTCAGCTCAGTACTGCCCCCTTGTCAGGGTTTTAAGTAGCAGCCTTTGAGCCTTTTGCCTGGATTGTGTTATCTCCCCTGTTAGGGTTTTAAGTAGATAGCCCACTTTCTATGGTCTGGGCAATCTTCAGCCTTGCCTGAGGAAACTGCTATTCTAGGATAGCTTCTAAGTAGGTAGCCTCTAACTGTGGGTTTTGTATTATCAGGTTAAGGTGTTGCTCACATAACATAGCTATCTGAGAGTAGCTGTGTTCTTAACTTGGTGTGGATGTCCCTCTTTCATCTGAAACTGGGTTCCCCATTTCTGCCAAGCTATGCGAGCGGCCTGGGGCATCAGTGGCTTGGCCCCTTTCTGAGGAAAGGTTAGGTGTATATCTGTTACTTCCTTGGTGTTCTCTCACCAGGTGGACAGGCATGCGCCGCGGCATGGCATAGTTGGCATTTCGTTCCCCATAGTGTCCGCTAGAGGATGCAGCGTGAGTTCCCTAGAAGGTGAACGTCTCAGGTTACACATGTAACCATGGTTCCCCGAGAGCGAACGAGACGCTGCGTCCCCTCGCCATGCCTTGGGCCTGACTGTTTCACGTCTCCTTCATACAGCTAAGTTGGTGACATGTTCTACAGGCACCCTTTTATATATCCAGGTGCCTGCCTGTGACGTCACGGGCTATGTGGGCCAATAGGATTGGAGTTGTTTCACACATGCTTCAGACACCGGTCCTGCTGTCGGTAGTTCCCATAGTGTCAGCTAGAGGACACAGTGTCTCGTTCCCTCTCGGGGAACCATGGTTACATGCGTAACCCGAGATGTTTTGTGTCAGGAGAATTCCCTTCTTCAAATCACCTCTTAACTGTTAATTTCTATCCCTGTTGAGAGCTGCAGTCACCAGCTGACAGATTGGCGCCTTCGTCATAAAGCTCTCATTAGAAACTTCATTAATCACAATGCCTTAAACAAACCCAAGGCCAATTAGCCTCACATGGCATAAAGCCAGTCTCTTCAGTCCATTTCTCTCAATAACATGAGTAACTGTCTTTGAAAAAGTCATTTTTAGACAACATTCAAAACCCTGAAAGGCCTATTTTACAAATAGAATAAACCCATTAGATCTTGTGTGTGTTTGTGTGTGTGTGTGTTTTGTCATTTGTCACTTCACATTTTTAGAGAAAACAGATTTACTGTTTTAACCATTTGATTTTCTTGCATTCAAGATTCAAAAGCTTGATTCTCTAATTGTTATTTCCTTAAATAAATAAATAAATAAATACATATTTGTAACACTTTATTTTACTATGTTGCACAGTATTACACTGTAACAAGGACACCTTACATATATATATATATATATATATATACAGTATATATTCCCTTGAATAGGATTTTCAAAACACAAAACACTTTCCCGTGATTCTCATATTAATAAAATTCTCCTTTCCCATTTTGAATTCGATCTTTGTTTTCCAACATTTGAACAAACTTCGCATTTGTCCTCAATATCAGTGTGCATGAGGTCAGGAATAATATCCGTTCATAGTGGTGTCCAAGGTTAGCAGTCAATTATAAAGCGATAGTCTCATTGTCACCCCTTCTACAGTGAGATTGCATAGGCACAGAAGTGAAGTAGCTTCTCAAGAAGATTTAAAGAAACACCTGCTGCTTGCATCGTCAAACCAGCAATTTCCTTGAAACCATATTAAGTTAACTTACAGAATGATCTTGTCAGCTGCCGACAGCAATCATTTACTAGAAGGAAAGATGCCGTCTGGAATGATGGCATTTGCGACGTGCGAAGACATGATAAATGTTTGTCCTGAGAAATATGGGAAATGAATTGAGAGCTGCAAGAACCAAAGAATCTGTATATGAACATACAATACTTTACCAACCATGATTATTTTAGAGTCCTCAAGCAATTTTGGCCAAATCTGATGTTGAAACAGTTAAAATATAAAAAAGCTATGAAAAATGGAGCTGCAGACAGTCTTGTTGATTATGAATTGCTGGAGAGATTTATGAAAGATACTGATGGAAGACATATGTTACAAAATACCCACCAGAGCTGACTGGATTCGTAAGGGCCAATGAAATAGAGTTTCTTTACTGTACACTGACTAATGCACCATGTGATTCTTTGATCATATCTTCTTAATACTGTTTCGTATAAGAAATATTTTCTCTGTTGCTCAGTTACCATCCTCTTTTTTTCTTGCTCTTGAGCTCACAGACATTCAGTGTATTCAAGCCCAAAGGTCATATGAAATGATAAAAACCGGGCTTGTGTGACACGCATTTGAAGTTCATTCTACCCCAGTGTTATTGCCCTGGCAGCACATTAAAGGGGCGTTCGGACGGCTCTGGAGATGCACATGGGCCACAACTGCATCCATCTGACTCCAAGCCAGAGAAAACATTCATTTGTGGGTTTAAATCTGTAGAAGGTTACATAACATCTAAATATTCTATTTTGATATTTGCGCATTTGCCATCGTCACTTCCACACTTAAAGGGAGGAAAAAACACTGCAACATCATGCGTGGATGATGACACCTTAAAGTGTCATAAATGAAGTGCAAAACACGTTGAGGCTTTTCTTTTAACCCACTTGCACTGTGCCAAATATGTAATCAGCTATCATTGGGGCTGTTTGTAGTGCGAAGCTTATTGGGTTTATTCTGAGAAATTGAGTCGTTGACTTTTTATTTGCTTGGAGTGCAGACTGTAAAGGAAGAACCACAGTGGCTTAAGCGACGGCCGTTTATGAGAAAACGTTTAAAGAACGTCATATTTAAAGTCTGTGTGAACTGGAAGTTGCGACCAGCTTTCCTTTAGTTTTGTAACATTACTGAGTGGAACGGAATATTGAATAGAGAGTGGGGCTTGATTTTAGTGCACCTCCTCACCATCTCTAGCTCACACTGATGGTCGGAGGGGAGTGATTACATTTTCAGATTTTGATTTAAGATTATGAATATTTAAATTTGTTTTCTGTGGATTAACTTGCAATAATGTAATGTGCCCTAACTAAGAAAATATGGTCATTTATGATTACATGTGGACTATGATCACCAGTAGGTGGTGGCAAGGAACTCATTGAGTTGATTTGTTCAAATTTGTTCAAAACAAGTGACAGCTGTTATGAGTCATTGAATCATTCATACTACCAATTAATTCAAAATGCTGATTCATTCAGGAACTACATATTTTCTTACATATTTACATATTTTGATTCACATACTACTTATTGTTTATTGCATTTTTAAATAGACTAAAGCTAATTGCTTTTTACCTCTTGCCATGCTTGTTGCGTTTTTATTTACAGTAATATTTTTTTTACTACACGTGCATATACTTGATTTTCTAAAAAAAATAAAATAAAATGCAAACATGTACATACATGTTGCTCACATATTTGTTGAAGCACTGTTTGTGAATACAGAGTAATCAGACATTAGCCATTAAAATGTTCCTAAAAAATTTTAGTACCTGAAAGTGTCAGAGAAAAAAAAACACCTCAGACTCCAGAGGATTAAACTTGGTGTGAATCTGAGGGCAAAATGACAAAATACAGATGAAAAATAATGTGAGATGAGTCCATAAATATCCACCATGTTCACAGCCTGTCCAAATGGAATCAAAATTGGACTAAATAGGTAAATCTGGTGAAAATAGATAGACCTGTTGCTAAATTGCAGTCACCCACTTGGAGATCACCACTTCTAGTCACATCTGAATTAACTTATTGTGCAATGATGTTATGATGAACATTTTGAAATATATGAAATGATGTTTTGTGAGTGAGCCGGTTTTTAGTGACTGCTCATATCTAATAAATTAAAGATGCGTCTCTGCACCTGCGATCTTCATGACATCTGTTGTGTTCACAGCGGATTTGATGACTAAAGGTCTGAAAGGAATGTGACTAATAATGAAAGTTAGTAGCTATGCAAAATTTGCCCTATGTTCAGTGGTACTTATGATGTACATCTTTCATGCTATTCTTCTTAATAACACCAAATGAACAATACCATCCTAAACAAAAAGATAAAAGGTAAAGTTCTATTGTTCTCTCTTGTTATACTGTGTACCAGCTCTCCAGACTCCAGTAGAAGAAGCAGCAAAGTTATTAATCAGATTTGCTATATAGGTCCTTCTGTAGAAAAATATCAGTTTAGACATCCACCTGATCGACCCACAGCTCTCCAGGTGTGTCCGGCCATTTATCAGTGTCAGCCACCAGACAGAGAACAATGCTGCCTTCTTAAAGAGCTTGTTTTTTGAGGGGAAATTTATCCATTAGTTGAATTCCCAGAGCTCAGCGCCA